AGACCATTGCTATTAGTAGGTTGCTCCTCTGCAATCTGGGGTTGACCAAATCTACCACAGAACTTTCGACCCACTGCAAGTTGTTCCACTCATAGCCAGGAGAAAGCTGCTCGGGAAGCGGCTGAGGCCGAGTGAGAGTGCTTTTCGCCTTCAGGGATGGGCACGAATGGCAAGATTCACACTGGCCTGCTGTGGGATCAAACTGTCAAGGGGTCGTGGCGTAGTGGTGTGCCGTGGTGTCATCCTCGAACCTCGAGTGTCCTGCAAGTTCAAATTGAGAGACTTCTGTAAGACACTGGTAGAACCAAAACGGAAGAACCCACAACCAATGGGGGTCTCATTTTGAAGTGCTGACCTCTTTGATCGCGCAGGGTCGACACAAAGGTTCAACCTGTCCATTGGTGCGATCGGTTACAGTGCATTGGGTGGGTGTGCATGAGGCCAAGTACTTGGTCTATGAGGATTCTTGATACGAATGGGACACAATTGACAACCACATGACCGACCCATGACCAGGATGACAATGACAACACTAGACACCAAGAGATGATCGGATCTTGACTGCCCTGCAGTGCCCAGACCATGGCGTTCAACCCTCGGGTGGTTTGGGTCACCTTTCGGGCATCCTGCAGAAATGGAGGGAGCGACACTTTCACAAACAAAGGTTAGTGTCGAGTGTGATCCAGAGCCCAAAAGGATTTTCAGTCCATTTTCCTGAAGGTGCATTGGGGAGGCCTCCCAAGCCAGTGTTTCACCTCGACTCTCGCGGAAACCACGCGGAGAAATGTGCAAAACCAAGAGGAGCCGGGGTTTGTGACTAAAGCTAAAGTCCAAAAAGGTTGCAAAATCGAAACCAGCAGGGTTCGACGCAACTTCCTAACTGACTTTGTTGATCGGATTTGCGGTCCTTGCACCCAACCCAGTGTGAAGCAGCGTGATCCCCGATGTCCCCATCCCAGCTGGGCAGATGCGGGGAAAGCCCACATGACTCACTTTGGGAAAGCTGAGGAACTGCTGTTTTTTGTTGTTGCCCCAACAGCTGCCAGAGCTCAGATTCGGTTGCGCCACAAGAAGGTCCTGTAAAGAAACGAAGTCCACTCAAGAGTTGCTGGTGGGGTCTGGGTGGTCTGCGTGGGGGTTCCTTCCTTCCGAGAATGCAGTTGTGACCCACATGAGTCGTTTTTCAGGAAGGGGGTTGTTCAACGGCGAGTTCTGGCGGATGACAGCAACGACGGTCCGATTCCGGGAACAACCCTTGGCCACTGAGAGGGTCCACACTTGTTCGGTGGACCACCCACTGATCAGGTTGAGTGGAAAGTCTCATCAGGCTCCATCCGATGGTTAATTGAGAAGGGTTGACTGTCTGGGGCCTAGCTTTAGGTGACCTGTTAGAGACAAACAAGAGGTGCTCGGTGTAGTTCGCCATGCAACAGGACGCTTCAGTCTGGTCCGAGTCAGAGTTTCCGCCCACTCGTCTTCTTGTTCGACATCTCTGGGGCTTTTTCGGGGCCGTGCGTGTGGGCCGGGGTCATGGAGACATGCAGCGGAGACATTGCACAACCTGTCCGCTACATTCGGCCCAAGTCGGGACCCGAGACGAGAACGATTCTCGGCACACGGAGGCAAGGCCCCGGGCAGTCTGGGCAGTCTGGGCGGCTCGGGTGCAGCCACGGAGCCTTGAAGAAGGGGTACTTCAACTGGATGATTCCCAAAGCATCTGCTGTCTACCAGGAGGACATGACCAGTGTGTCTAGGAGTCTCTTGTGCATTTTCACGGTGTGACCATTGAACCCCCCACCCTACGCTGGAACTCGGTGCTGGTCATGTGCTGGAGCACATGTCCATCAGTCAACAAGTATCGGCTTGTTTGCGTTCGATGCACTTGCATGCAATTCTTCATGCCTCAGAGCAGTGTTGACTGGTTAGATAGTTGGCCTTCTCTTCTCAAAAACCAGCGCACAAGAGCACTAAACCCAACCCCCACCGAGTCCTACAAGTCCTATGCACGAAGTACGCCCGGTCAGGTGCCCAGCGTCAGATGGAGATCCGGGCAGGCAGAGGGTCGAGTGGGTCGAGTCGGTGAATGTCTCACGAAGAGAACACAAGAAAAGAACAAGAACATAGTAGCTTATTGTTAATAGTAGCGATGCCAGGAGCCCCTAGTAGCATCCTTTTGCTCCTAGTAGTAAGGCCAGGAGCCCCGTTCGTAGCGTCCTTGCTCCTAGTAGCTTATTGTTACTTTACTAGTATATAACTAGTAGTTAGTAAGAATGCTGCTAGTAGCGATGCCCTTTGTTTCTAGTAGCGAGGCCTTGACGAAAAAAGACAAATCCCTCATTTTTCGGGTGTCTATCTGTGTCTCCCTTAGTAAGACGATTCAGGGTGTCTCTCTTAGTAAGTCGCAGGTCCTGGTGACTTGTGGAGGGAATGGCGCGCTCCACGTCAGGTCCGCCTTTGGCATCTTGGCTCCCAAGCCCAAATGCCGTGGGCCGAGCCCACGCGGGCGTGGTGGCTCAGGGTGTTGGAAGACGTGGCTCCCAACCTGCTAGCGATGGCCTCCAACCTAATTATGATGGCCTCAAACCTGCTAGCGATGGCCTCCACCCTAATAGTGATGGCCTCCAACCT